CAATAAAATATATTATTTAGAGCCTGTTTGGTACAGATTCTCATTTTCTACAGTAAATCAATTCTCATTTTCAACCACACATTCTTCAATAAAATAATATTTTCCATCACATCAATACTTTTTTCTTTTTTTTCAACCACACATTTTCTATCATATCACTGTTCAAAAATCAATTTTTCCCCTAAAAATTCCTACCAAACACACTCTCCTAATCCTCCAAAAGAATCCCCAAAACCAAACAAATTTCACTGCATCACACTCCCAAGTATCCATACGCGAAATCTCTCTGCCCGAGAAATTTTGATTTTTTGTCCATGGCTGGTATATTGGAAACCTTAACTGTCCCGCGCGCCTCCGCTCTCCAGTCCGCTTCCTTTGCTCCGGTAACCGGATGTTCCTTTTCTCGACGTAGCTCCGTCAAATTGTTCGAGTTTAGAGGCCTGAAGATCCAGCTGGCTCGATCATCCGCGTCGCTGAGTTCACGTCCGAAACTACCTAACCATGGTAGTCGAATCGTCTGCGAGGCACAAAACACAGCAGTTGAAGTTGAAGGTTTGTTTTTTAGTATATCTTTCCTTCTGTCGTTAAATTTTGATTCAGTGCTAAATACTTTTAGATTGTGCGTTTAATTGTACGTTAGTGATGTCAATTACACTTAAAATGAGATGTAACCTATGAATTGTTCAATTACAAACTTTGGCCGGACTTCACTTTAAAAATAGGTGCTGGAAATTGTTTCTATTTAGAATTAGTAGTTTTGTTATACTTCGTTCAAAAATTGCATTTAACTGAAGCTTCTTTTTTTTTTTTTTGGGAATTGGAACTCTTTGAGTTCAGTGCAAACAAATACTACCCTAGGTCAACTTGAGTGATAAGTTTTGCTAATTTTTTACGGCAGGCTGCAAATTGGTGCCTATACTGCTAGGTTTCATTTGTAAATGTTGGCGTCAAAATCATTTTTTTTTTTAATTTACTAGTTACAGTGATATAGCATCCAAGTCACACGTTAATCATTCTAAAGTCCATCTTCTGCCTCCCTAAACTCGGAATGAAAAGCAAATAGTCATTAATGATCTTTTTGTTTGGGTGCATGTTATTGCCATTGTGCCTTTTGAGTAATATTTCGCTATAAAAGCTGAGAGATTACAAAGCTGCTGCTGCTTTTATTTTCTATTTTTTTCCCCTGTGCTTGTATAATTATTCAAGCAGAATTGCAAAACGGGTCAGAAAATGCTTCGGTAACATGAACATAAATAGCTTACGAGGTGTTTGTAGTTAACTTAATACCTGTTTTTATATAAGCTTGGAATGGTTAATCAGTAATTATGAGGCATCAATGTCTCTTTATGGCCATTTCAAAGTAAATT